AGTTGATTCACCAAACTTTTCAAACCAATATCTGGAATATTTTCCAGGGTTTTTCCAGATCGAATCGTCAGCAATGAATATGCACATTCAAACTTGTTCCGCTGAGTTCCTTTTTCAATATAAATAATTCTGTTCTGAACAGCAGAATGAGGATTGACCGTTCTCTAATGGAAGCCGTCAACTGAAAACCCATTACTTTTACCGTCTCGCCAGCATGAGCTTGGTCAGTCATGATATGTTTTATATTCTGCGGGCACTTACTCAATCCGTCTGTCTTCAACAAAGAGGCAGATGAAGACTTACACATTTCTGACCAACCCTTGGATTTTGAACTTCCTCGTTCGTCCACTCCGGCTATCTGATATAACCTAGACTGACCAATGCAGTCTCGCTCCCGTTTCGATTCGTCCACTGACCCTAGTCGTCCCAAGTCTTGAATGATTTCATCCATAGTCGACCGTCCGGAGCTCAGCACTTTATATTCCTCTTCACCAAGGTTGATCACGCGCTGATCCATTACATCTTCATGAGGTTTTTCTTCATCTGTGTCCATACTGATCACTTCCTATGTAAGCAAAAGGTCAAACAACATGAGTTTTATTTCGATATTAAATACGAAATAACAAAATGGTAACAATGTGTGATTGAAAAAGCGATAACATTTTTATGGAAAGGGTTTCGGTGCTACCTCCGCTAATAGGTTTTTATATGATGTTTACACAGGTCTGCATGCAGCCTTCGATTGACCTAAGTCCCGTTATTGAACGCTTTCTGTGCGGTTGAATATTCGACACATAAATTAAAGTAGAAATTTGGTGCTTTAAGAAAATTCATACCGGCAAAAATTGATCCTGGCAACGGACTGTTGATCTAACCATTCAACGTTTACGGTATTTTGAATAGAAGACTTCATTTGAGAAAGACAGAACGTTGTCTTCTTTCTACCCAGTTAAACAGTACAGAAAAAGACGTATGTTGTGACTGGAATCAATTGAAGCCGAGAATAGTCAATGAAAGTCTTTGTTGGATAGTCTTTGTTCATGCATTGGTTCATCGTAAGCTTACTTTGATTGAGGGTACACTAGCGTAGCTAAGAGTCATATAAATTTACCTGGCATTTTTTACCGGAAGCTATCGATTGATTTGATGCATCCGAAGGTAGCCTTGGTCTTGGTGTGTTTATCGGTGATGCCGGTTTACGAAGAATTTCTTGTGCATTGGATGCGGTTTGATCGTTCCGTGCTGAGTTTGGCTCGCCCAGTGGTTCATCTGCTATTTCTCGTTCAAAGTGACTCCCTTGCTTCGTGTGGATTGCCTGCTATCAATAATAATAATAATAATATGAATGTATACAGTTTAAATACAATACAATAGTATGGTATCTTACAGGGTGGGAAATTCCTACGGTAGAACCATGGTTAGGAAGAAATAGAATGAAAATATAAACCGCTATACATAGCTAGAGGTAAAAACGAAAGGCTAATTAAGGGTGATATTTTCAGTAAATGCGCTATTTAGTTCACATTTAGTAGAAAAAAACTTGGTGATCATTTCAACTCCGCAGCTGATTGCGTATCATGTATTTCAGCGTGGTCGAAGCATGATATTTTCAATCTTTGAGGTCCCTAACCTGATAGTTGCAAATTCCTTATATTCTGATGAAGTGCTGTGGTCAATTTCTTCACTCCACCTCGCGAGCTCTTATTGTGGCTTTCATTCGGTATTTTCTGCCCATGTCCAATAAGCGCCAACAGGGAAGATGATGTTCGCATCTGTGAGAATGCGCTCAAAGAGCCAAGAGAAAAATGGGAGCGGTTGAAGATTTCACTTTTTTGTCGCTGAACACCGCAAATTTAGGAACAAGCACAATGCTAAGCATGCTTCACAAATACCTCAAGGCAAAGTGAGCCTGAATCTACTCCTCTTGAGATCCCCTTATCCATGTCCCTTGTATGTATATATATATTCATATAATAGGTTCTGGAATGGGTGTCCTGGGTTGTGCCTGGTAACCCTTCCCATGCACCTAGTGTAATGCTCTTATGCAACCAAGCGTCTCAAATAACTTCTTTTAAGAAGCCCTACTCACTGCCTTCCAGTAGCGGAAGTGTTTTGCACCAGCAAAGTAAGATATTAAAACGCCAACATCCGGGGCTAAAACCGGGTCGGTAAACCACTGGCAGTTCACCCATGGGAGTTGACTAAAAACCCTGATTCCAAGTCTATCTAGAAAAAGGGTACGAAACACACTCACCCTGACCACTTTATCGGGGCAGTGATCACCGGGGTATCGAGGGGTATTGGGCGCCTTGGTCATTTAACCCCGTCAAAAGGTTGTATAATCCAATGAAGAAGACATCGACCATCACACCACCCCGCCGTCTTACGGGTCAGGTTTGGGTTATTCAAAGGCTCAAGCTGTGAATTTCCTAAAAACATCCACCTACCTTGACCGGGACAACCTTGCAGTATTGAGCCCACGAGCAAACCACGGAACATTTCCTTCTATAAGGATTACTGTACTGTAATTTGTTTGGCACAGTCTGGACACAGACGGGTTTAAATATATCCCGGATTAATCAGGACATGCAAGATACTATAGTACAAGTACGGTTTTTAAGTTCAGTTGTCAAATTGCGGAGCTGGAAAAGGACAAAGTATTTTAATCGGATATAGCAGCACTACTTAAACGGCATTGAATGCATTACCAAGATTTTCCCGCTCTATCCATACACTTTAAACCGACATGTACACAATCCCCTTCGGTGGACAACTTGAGTTTATATCATTCTGTTACCCGTTTATACTTGTGATTGCCCCACTGTTGGACGAAAAATTTGCAATAAACCTAAGAGAATTCAACCACACAAGTACTTATCCTGTCCTATCTTCAGGGATAACTATTCTTTGTCGCTATTCCCAGCCAGTACCTTTTTACTGAACGGAGCGATTGCCAGTAATTCATTCCTTTTCGATTTGCAGAAGCCACCACCGTCTACTCTTAGGTGGAGCTGAAATATTTTCACAGAGTGCCTTATAAATCTTTCTAGGTATCCGACAACATTAAAGTTCTGCTCACCCCCAGGTTTTTCCGTTTTTAGCAGTTCTCTTAGAATGATTGCTTGTTGTCTTGATCATTTTACTATTCACCTTTGTTCTCCGTTTTACTGAAACAGTTAATGTCATTTATAGTTGGTGCCGCTCATTTTAAAGTATGTATGTCTCCAAAAAGCAGGATACCCTTTCTCGTAATAAAGTCCTTAGGGAAATAAAAAAAGAACA